CACACAGCATGGCTGCGCTGGCAGTGAGGTTGGCGCCAACGAGCTAATCAATCCACGGCCAGTGGCGTCCAACCACTTCGCCAGCTGAGCTGCTGCTCTGCAATAACGGATGATTTGGAATCTGATGACCCCCCCCAACAACGTTTTTAATGAAGGAGGTGAAATGAAATGCTATTTTCAGGTTTAATGGAGGCTTATTTCCCTTTTTTCCTCAAAATTAGTTCATTAATGGATAATGATAGCGGAGCTCGAAATCATTGCACAAGAAGACATTACTTACTGAAGGATTTGGAAGAGTTTTTTAAATATGTTTAGCTTATTGTAAAATCCATATGCAGGCGACATTTGTGAACAATTGTGACAATAGAATTGATATTTCAAAAGTAGTCAATCGAATCAGAGCTATTATTATTATTATCATTATTAAAGGTTAATATAGCATTTAAACAGTAAGTCTCCCTGAGTGGAGAATGAAGCCACTCATGTGAGTTGTAATTCTAATTTCTCTTTGCTTAGTCTGCACATTCAGGATCATCCGTGTGCGTGTTTAAGCATCTGAGGGGCCCCGCTGGCCACGGACTCGCCGCCCGTATGGCGGATAGAGCTGTTGTTATAAAGGCGCCGGCTCTCCTCCCCGTTCTTCTCAGGTGTACATCGATAGTCAGCACTTTGGAAAATAGAGCAGTTAATAATTAGCTCAACGGGAGAGAAATCCTGAAGACTGTTTCGGTCCGAGGCTTTTTCAGGGATGATACAGTGTTATTGAAATGAATCGTTCCCTTCAGGATCAGGAATCAGGAATCAGGAATCATTTATTGCCAAAATATGTCAAACATACAAGGAATTTGTCTTGGCGGTTGGTGCGTGACAGTAGACACAAATCAGACGAGACAGCAGTGCACAAGAAATAAAATAAAATAAATGCAAGACAAAAAATATCACAGAAACATCCCCAAACCACGAATGTGACATTCAAGTGACTGTGGAGAGTGAAGAGACGACGTTGAGACTCTTTTGCTGAGGAAGCACGTGGTAGGATACGTTGTCAGTGGGGGGGTTTGAACACAAGCAGATTCCTGTGAAACTTGAACTTTATTCCCCAAACAGGTGTGAAACGTTCAAGTTAAAGGCGACTTTACTGTGTTTAATGAGAACAAAAACAGAAAAATGATTCTGGCGAAACAAGCTAGTTAGTAGATGCTTTTATCGACGTGTGTCGGCCACCAACATCACTGCAAAATGTAACAAAGACAAATCGATGCACACTTTAAACACTTGCACAATAAATGCATTATGCATCAACGTGGAAGGGAATCTGAAATGATCTGCGGCCGCAGGTTTTAAGAGCACAACCAAACGTGAGTATTCCTTCGATGAAGAAGCGGACGAATGCCTCCGTCCTCCCTCCCCCCGACGTGCAGAAGTACACGTGAAGACGGTGACTCTAATCGTCCCAGCTGACGCAGGTGCAGGGCTCATCGCCTTAAACGCGGTCAGATGTGCACCATTAGGCCGCCTGTCAGCCGCTCGCTGCTCATCGTCTGCCGAGGAGCTCCGACGCGTCGCCGCTCGTGTGTTTGTCGGCCGACTTGTGGCACTTAAAGAGTTGTTAAATCCACCCGGGCGAGCAAACGTCACGCCGCCTGCCGAGAGCGTTCCTCTTCCGTAAAGAGGTGCGTGTTCGTCGCTAGCCGCACCCAGCAAATAGACAGGGCCTACTTCCATTAATCACAGTGACTGACACTGATGGAGAGAAACGGCTGGAGCAGCGATGGACGGACGGATGTCTTGTGGACTAAATGTTCAAGTCTACTAGATTATTTACCATAATGTCTTGTATGCTTTTGACATGGCGTCCTCTTTTTACTCGTCGTAATCGCCAACACAACAGTTAGTTTTGCCCAACGCTTGTCCGTCTCTATGCTTTGGCGGCGTGGCTGGAGGTCAGGGCCGGGCCTCCTGCACTCAGAGAAGCTCTTTTGTTTCCTTTGGAGCATCGAAACCTCCGGCGCTCCGTCTGGGGTTCAACATAAACACCGGAGTCAACAAGAGAAGAGACACTTTGAGCCGTTAGTGCTTCGGTGCACTGCATTAATTACCAATAACTGCACGCAGAAAAGCTCACAGTGGCTTTGGCGCACTTGAATATTTTTCTGTATTCTGCTGCCTTCCGTTGAATAATTTAAACCCTATTAGCCCAACGGAAAGAATCACGGAGCAGAATGTGCAGAAAAGGCCGTTTTCTCTTTGCTCTGTGTTTGTTTGAAAGCTCCTGTTTTCATCATTACACACGGACATGAACGCAGAATCCCATCTTGACATAATTCAGATCTCCACACAAAGCAGTAAGTTACTTCCACTGAATCAAACATAATTACTGACAAATCCTGAGTCAATGTTTCCTCAGACATTCACACTGCTTGAACAAGAATATTTAGCTATTTCACCAGCGGGAAATGGGAACATTTCTACTGTTGGAAATTGATGAGGAGACTTGAGGCAGATGCTGTAACTACAGATGTACGACGCAGCATAAAATTATAATTATGCCTCAGATGAGACTCTCGTCGTATTATTGAAAGCTGCCTCTTCAAGCTGCTCCCTGCTGCTGTTACTTCTCACATTCAAGGAGTCCATCGACGAATAAGTGCCGAATGGTTTACTTAATTATCGACATCAGTGACGTCACTTGGACGGCGAGGGCATTAATTAAGGGGGCAATTGAATGGCACACAACAAAAAGCCCCCCCCCCCCCCCCCCCACACTTTGAAGCTCAGGGCTTCTCTGGAGAAAAGCTGGAAGCTTTGAACCGTAACGCAATAAAGCTGACAGAAAAAGCTGCATCAGCCTCTCCAAATCTCCAGTTTGCATATTTGTGAAGTCTGATTCCGACAGCCAGCTGGTTTCTCTGCGTGCGTCGAGTCTGCACTTCCACCCAGATGTGTGACGCTCAGTGTGTGTGTGTGTGTGTGTGTGTGTGTGTGTGTGTGTGTGCGTGCACGGTGGGTCCCTTCTTGCTCACAGACTGCGGCTTCAGTGTTATCGGATTCTCCTGCTGTGCAACAGGTTCTTTATCCCCTGATTCCCCCGCTGGCTGCACGCCGCAGGTTCCACTATCGGGTTCCCCGCCGACTCTCAGTCTGTTTCCAACTAACAAAACCCTGCTGGATGATTCCATGAGCCCCCCCCTCCCACCCCCCCAGTGGATGGGCAGAAGCGTGCCTGCGTGCTAACGTGTTTCCTGCGTGTGTTTTGTGTGCTCTCTTTTTTTTTCGCTTTGCGGCTGGTGTCCAGCTGAAACTAAAATGAATATGGATCTGAGGTTGTCACACTTGAGATGGAGATGTAAGAAAATAAAAGACAGGATGAAAGCCTTGGAACCATGTTGTATTTTCTATTGTGCCTCAGAGCACATTTTCAGGTTCTAACATTTCCACCTGTCAAAGGTTCAATTGTTGCCTTTTCTTAAAGCTGATGAAGTTTAAACGGGTCTGCAAAATGCTACGCTGGTTACCTGCAATCCAAAGAGCCATATGGTGAAGATCAAACACCTCCTGCTGGCTGAGGTGCTATTGTCCTTTTTAAGGTCGAGTTCCATTAGAAGGAAACATTCTGAAACAGTTTGATTCTCACTACTGGAATCAGACCAATTCGAGTCACTTTTCTTCGTGGATGTGGAGTTTTCAACACACTTAATTGAAGAACATCGTGTCCATATTGTACTTGAGGTCGTACAATTGTGCACTTAATATTTTCAAGAAAGGGACTCTTTCAGATCAGAAGTCAATCAAAGAGGCACAGAAGACGGGAACGCGACGTTGTGAAGGTGACTTGACCCCCCCCCCCCCCTCCTCCTCCTCCTCCTCCACCCACTCGGCTCTCGGATTCACACGATCCTCCGCAAAAATGGGTTTGCCGGCCGTTCGCTCTTCCCCATCTGGTGAATTGCGTTCTGATTTCCTGCCATTTTCCTTCGTCATCGTATAAAACCGGCCGACTGTCTCGTGTGACCTGCATGGGATCACGTTCGTCTCCACGCGTCTATTCTGGGCTCCCGTTATCGGCCGTAGTGCACCTGCCTCTTCATTGTGTGCTTCTCCTCCTTCACTCTCAGTCAGACAGCGCTTCCTGTCAACAGATAGCGGCCCGCGGGAGAGGATGTCCATGTGCTCCCTGTAGGACCACCCCGAAACGTGGACACGGTTCCTCCGTCCATCCATCCGTCTCTGATTCCGATTGCTGTGTTTCTTGTTTTAGGCCTTTTTCCTGCCTTTGGTGTCTGGTTTTGGTGGACTTGTTTGATCACGGTGTTCTGATCCTTTGTCCCTGAGTTCAGCAGGACTGTGTGTAGCTCTGCTCTTCGCACGGGAACGTTTTGAGCTTTCACCCTCAGTGGAGCATCGAGGGGCCGTGAGGAGGAGGTCGTTCCCGACGCCAAAAGCTTTCTCACTTGTCCACTTCGGGGACTCGTGTCTCTTTCATGCTGGTGGCTCTGTGAGGGTGGAACCGTCGGCCCGTCGCTGCACGACCTTCGCCCGGACTGAAATACCCCAGAAGGAGGACGGATTGCCATGACATTTTGTGCAGACGTTAGTGATCCACCGAGGATGACTTTATTATAACTTTATTGACTTTGTTGATCCCCTGGCTTCCCGTCTGGCTTCCAGCGGTCAGTTCAATTATCTGTGAAGTCTCAATGTCGCTGTAAATACGGGTCCAAAGAGGCTGGAGTTCTTCCCGGAACCATTTACTTCTCAGGCGCCAAAGTTCTACAAGAAAAATCCCCCCAAAACTGTGATTACCAGACCTGTGATTACCTAATCATTTATGTTAGAGAGAGAGAGAGAGAGAGAGAGAGAGAGAGAGAGAGAGAGAGAGAGAGAGAGAGAGAGAGAGAGAGAGAGAGAGAGAGAGTGCTCCAATCACAGAGCTGCAGAATAGCTGAGAAAACAACAACTCCCTCCCTCCCTCCCCTCCTCTCCATCCCTCCTCTCTCCCTCCTGTCGGGTTTGAGGAGATCTCTCTTGGAGCCGGAGAGGAGAAGTTGTCCGTCTCTCTCTCTCTCTCGCGTCCTCATCATGGATTCTAGGAGTCATTCTAGGAGTCGTCGTAGGAGTCATTGTAGGAGTCATTCTAGGAGTCGTTGTAGGAGTCAAGGGGCCGCTGGGATCGTCGCTCAGGTCGCGCTGCTCCTCTGCAGCGCGCGCGGGACGAGCGGAGAAGGTGAGCGGGCGATGCGGCGTTTTTTGACACTTCTCCCCGGAGGAGACGCGGCGAGTCCGGGCAGCGCGCAGCCGGAAGGGTCGCGGGGCGTCACGCGTGCGTCCTGCAAGGATTCTGCCTTCTGGACGCAGTGATATTCAGTTTCTGGTTTAGTTTGGTGGTAATTCGGCTTCCGCGCGTCTCGTTTACGCACCGGCTGTAAAGGAGAAGTGCGTGTTTTCAGTGGACGGCTCCGCTCGAGGGTCTTATATCCAAATCGTTGTCGCAGTTTAATTAATCATGGATTTAATGATCGTGTCTCCTTATGTTGGGCTTACTTTGCTGTTGGTGGACAAATATGCTCCAAGGTCTTTTTCTAACGCGCTGATCCATCGTGTGCGTAAAAGAACTCCATCGCTTTGTTTTCTGGCTAATTTGCTGCTGTGACTGAGCCGCGTTTGTGCCAAGCTTTTCTGTTAAATACAGGAGAAGCTGTGTTGTTTAGTTATTTCACACTAAATGAGTGTAGATTTATCTGAACTAGTGGATGAGAGAAGGATGGAGATGATTGTTGTAAGTTATGGAAGCAGGTGCTTGTAGAAGCTTGTAGAAGTTTCGCCAGTCTTCCCTTTCCTTTCCATTGACCCCGGACGCGTCAACCAATCCTTCCTGTCGTGAGAACATGTATCCACCGTTTCTCCTCAAAAGACACACGTAATATCTGTTTGACCCGACTCTCTTCATCGTGTCGTGTCCCTCCCTCGTCTTCATGTGTTTGCGTCTGACTCTCCGTCCTCTCCTCCCCGACTCGCTCTGCTGCTGCTCGCTTCCTCCTCGTGTCGTCGGTCAGCTTCTCTCATCCTCCTCTCCAGATCTGTGTCACCTTTCCCTCCTCTTCCTCGGGGTGATCTGACGCGTCCTTCATGCAGTTGTTACGGATCTCAAGGCCCCCAGTTGTTTCCCGTCAGGGTTTGAAAAGCATTTAGATCACAAAGGGGCCCTAAAAGGCTCCATGGGGCACCCACCGATGACCCCGTTTCAGGGTTTGCAGGTCTTTAAAGCAGGTTCACCCCCCACACCTCTTCAGTGATTCATCTGCATGGTTCACAGTTTGTTCTAAAGTTCCTCTTGATCTAAGTAGGTTAATGTGTTTTTGCTGCGATCTGTGGCTCTCGGACATTTTTCGTCTTCGTTCTCTTCTTTTCTGCCAGCTCCATTTTCTAACTCTCCGTGCTTCTCCCTCACCTCTTTCCATCCATGTGTTTATCTCGCCTATTAGCAGCAGCCCTGCAGACAGCTCGCTGCTCATCGCCGAGGTGCTACTAAATGGTAACTGAACAGAAATACATATTTAAACAGCCACAGATGGCGCTGCGATGACTTGTTAGCCGGAGGAGTGAAGCCCTTTTGTGTAATGAGATGCAAGGAAGTCAGCGTGCGTTTAATCTCCTTCTCATGCAGACAAGCGTGTCACATGGTGGTGGGAACCGCCTGCAGCAGCACAGTGTGCAGAGGCCCATCGTGCAAGCGGAAGGTGGGATCTCGTGGGGAGTCCCGGGGACGAGGAGTGTATTTTATGGCCACTAGGGGGCAGCACAAAAAGCTGGGAACAACAGTCAACTTTAAGGGTTTTACGTACTTTACAAATAAGTTGGCGAACTCTCGAAGAAAAATAATCAAGAACCCATCCGAACGAGGTTCTTGATTATTTTTCTTCGAGACTTCGCCAACTTAACCCTTAAAGTTAAATTGTGAAGAGGAAAACTGTGTCATGCGCTCCGGCTTCCATTCGAGGCAACCGATTACTGTACGACTCCAAATGTGACCGGCTGAGTCCTTTTTGGGATCACACATTACGTCGTAGCAAATAAAAGTGGTGGATTAAGCTGAAAAAAGCAAAACAACAAAGCCGGCTTCATTATTCTGACAGCAGAGAGACTTTATCGGTGTCCTGCTGCGTCTCTAATTGTCCCCTCAGGAAGTTTTGATCCCATGTGTGTTGTTTTCTTCTGCTTTATTTCTCTGGGTCTCAAAGCATAATTGGGGTACAACACCGCCTCCAGTGCATCTCTACATTAATTAGTGGAGCGTTTGATTATCCGCGCTGCGGCGTCTCGGCTGCATTCAGAAATCCTCCTGCTTCTCGCGCCAGTTCGGATCCCGGAGAATGTTTCTCAAAGCACATCAAAATATGTCAAGCGTGGTGATGTAACTCAAAGACGCTGGTCGTGGATTGTTAGCCGCGCCGCGACACCACGCTTGACGATCAGCTGGGAGACAAACACCAAACGTATTGATCAAAAGGGGCTCGATTGGATGTAATTAACGGGCCCATCGTATTCACAAGTGGATTTAAGTACACGCTAACTCTAATTAAATAATCAGATATCTTTGCTGCGTGATGTCTATTCCATTACCGCACTTATTACGCAAAGCTTCATAATTAACTCAAGTATTATCCTTTACTGTCTACTTCACATCCTCGTTGTCTTAAGATGTTAGGATGCTTCTTAGCAATAACCAGAGAGCTTTTTAGCTGCAATGCTTCTGTGACAGGCTTGAAAAATGATCTGACAAAATGAAAGCAGCAGGAGACCAATGCATCTGAACTGTTAGTCCCGTATGTGTGCAGCCCCATATCCACAGCATGCTACAATTCCCACAATGCAACGGTTTAATTAGGCCTTCCCCCCGAGAGAGATGTCACCACACCTGCAGACAACGCTTCAAAAGAAATAACTGTTGCTGTCATCGCGTCTGCATTGAGCAAAGCAAACCTGTGTGTGTGTGTGTGTGTGTGTGTGTGTGTGTGTGTGTGTGTGTGTGTGTGTGTAGGTTGAAATTCATTGGATTGGCTGCGGGTGTTTTAAGCAAACATGAGGTTAAAGTTTATGTAAGTGCGTTAATATGAAGATGTAGCTGCCTGGAGTGAAAGAGACACAACTGACCTTCTGTTAAACAGCAACGTTGCTCTGTGGAGGCGAGCCGACCCCCCACGACCCCCCGCGACGTACTTCCTCAGGCTGAGGCTGTCAATTAGAGAGTATTGCCGGGCCTAAAGTGCTTGCTTACTGCAGAGTGGCGCGGCGGTAGTGATGTGCACACAAAATGAGGCTGAGAACGATGGAAAAGAGAATTTATGTGCCGACATGAAGCTGCTACTTCACACTATCAGTGCTGCTGGCAGTGAAACGAAATGTTTCTTTACCCGTCATCCACACGTGAAGGACAGATGGTGGCACCCCTCACGTTCCCTCCTTCGTCTTCAGGTCTGCTCTTGTCTTTCCTCCTCTTCCTCATCAGCCTTCCTCCGAGGCGGTTTAGAGCCGCTGCACTGTGCTATAATCGTAGTATTAATAACACTTAACGACTTTTAATCCCAGCCTAATGACAGATAATACCACTTGTACTGGGGGAGGGGGTTAGCTCAGATGTATCCCGCCCCCCTCAGTGAGAGAAATTTTTAAGTGTTATTACTCAACCAATGAGGGCGGTTGTAGTTGGATATTTAAACTGTGCGGCCTCGTGAGGAATGTTAGTGGCCCTCGATTAAAGCTCATGATTCATAGATAATTAGTCAAACATCTGCGAGTTCATGAGTCACCACTCATCTGTCTGGTGCAGAAGATACAGAGAAGGACGCAAACTCAGCATCCTACTTCCTGCGCTGCCCCGTGTCATGTGGATTTATCGCGTTCCAGCGAGCGCAACATAAACCTGTGAAGATAAACTGTTTAAACACCCCCTTCCTTTATGATTCACGAGGGGCATCAGGATGTAGCCGAGGATAACCCCCCCCCCCGTGTATTTCTTCTTTGGTGTCATTTATGGAGGAACGTGTGCTGGCATAATGGAGCCGTGAGCGGGACCCGATGGAGACGAGGTTCCGGGACGTCCGAGCCCCCCCGGTCATGAATCCAGATTCATCGACCCGCCAACGGGCGGTGAAGTGAGGGGGACCACCGGACTGAGTCTGTCCCCTCGCAGATGGAGCCGTTGTTCATGTGCGATAGTCATCAACCCAGAGGACTCGTTGTCGCATCCAATTCTGGATCCTCTGACGGCTTCTTATCTGGGGAGGTTGCACACACTGCTGGGGAGCGATGGAGATGTTTAGACGGGGGCGCAGGACGAGCTAACAGTGGGGGGTGAAATACAGGCTCCACACGAGGTCACGGCGCTCCGGAGGACCCGGACTGTTGTGGGAATTTTGATGGCACATTTTCACATGTCCTCCACGCGTTGGAACATCACGTCTCTGAAGTGTGACGTCGGTCACCGAGGGGCTCCTATAAACCTCAGCATCAGTGCGTCCACACGACCAGACGCCTTCGCGGACCCGGCTAACGCGTCCCGGCAGTCACCAGAGACGGACGAGACAGAGCTGAATCAAAGCTGAGCTCACGGAAGGGAAGAGGGGGGAAGGCGGATGAGGGGAGGGAGGAAGTGGGGGGAGGAAGTGGGGGGAGGAGCAGCGTGAAGTGAGAGAGGACAGAGTTTAGGAGTCGAGGTGCGCAGGCCGTCTGGCAGCACAACCGCACAAACACATTGTATCTCAATGACCTGTGTGTGTGTGTGTGTGTGTGTGTGTGTGTGTGTGTGTGTGTGTGTGTGTGTGTGTAAACGGGTCACCATCTGCTTTCTGGACACACCGCCTCACACCTTTGAGATGATTTGACTTCAGGAGGAGGAGAAATGTCGAAGTATGAAGGACGGCGAGGAGGGGAGCAGAGGAGGAGGGGAGGATGGGAGGAGGGGAGGATGGGAGGAGAGGAGGATGGGAGGATGGGAGGAGAGGAGGAGAGGAGGATGGGAGGAGAGGACGAGGGGAGGAGGGGAGAAGAGGAGGAGGGGAGGATGGGAGGAGGGGAGGAGAGGAGGAGAGGAGGAGGGGAGGATGGGAGGAGAGAAGGAGAGGAGGAGAGGAGGAGAGGAGGATGGGAGGGGAGGATTAATGTGTCTGTAGAGGAGGACGGAGTAAGAAAGAGGGACACTGACGATAATTCAGACGCTTCCTGCTG